ATGTAGCCCAGGTTGGCCTTGAACTTTCAGCAATCCTCCTACCTCAGCTGAGATTACAGACATGTGCTGTCATACCTCCTTGCATTTTGTTTTGTTTTGCTTTTTTGTTTTTGTTTTTGTTTTTTTCCAAGACAGGGTTTCTCTGTGTAGTTTTGGTGCCTGTCCTGGATCTCACTCTGTAGACCAGGTTGGTCTCGAACTTACAGAGATCCGCCTGACTCTGCCTCCCGAGTGCTGGGACTAAAGGTGTGTGCCACCGCCACCCAGCATACCTCCTTGCTTTTTAAAAATCCAAGTCACCTATTTTGCAGCAACAGGCAAACTGATAGAGGCGGGAAGGGGGATTTGGTTTTGAAGTCATCTAATGCTTGGTACTAGAAGATAGATTAGACTGCTCCAAGGTCTTTTCAAATCATGTTTATATTTCATAGACAATCCACAAGGAAAAGGACTTTTGCCAGAAACAGGTTACAGAGGACACAGAGAGATGTTTCATAAATGTGACAAATGGGCTCCAAAAAATTCTAATGAAATGAAACTCAATTCAATTGAATCAATAATAAATACTGAGTGTTCATAATGTGATAGGTAGTGCTAGGCCATGAAATGGAGGGCTAGATGTGTGCAGAACAGATGGCAAATTGATTAGAAAATTAGGCTTTTTTTTTCCTTTTCCTTTTTTTCTTTTTTTAACCAAGGGCAAAGGGTACTGACAATATCCAAGAGAGTGAGAAACAGATTTGTAAAACCTGATCAATCACTTAGAAAGTCACGAATAAAGCTCGGATGATTAAAACCACATAGGTGGAATAATTCTCAAATTCTCAAGGGTGATAAATGATACCACCCAATGTTTGTGAAAGGGCTGAGGCAGAGGCTCCTGGCACCTCTCTGGCAGTACAGACTTCAAAGCCTCTTCTGGAAAACAACTGGACTCAATGCTTCAAGAACCTTAACAACATTTATTTCTTTGACTTGCAATTCCTTTATTAATACATCTTGAAAAGCCTTATATAAAAGATGTTTATCACAGTAATATTTCCCAAATAGAGAGATGCTGGGTATTTGCAAGACTGGAAATCATATAAGAACTTAAATGTTACTGAAGAGTTTTGAAAAGACAAGCACATGTTATGTTTGAGGGATACAGCCACCTGTCTCTTTAAAAAGATTTTCAATTTTTACATGCAAGAGGGTTATTGGCTCACACAGCAACCAGCACTGTATGGCACCAAACTTTTTGTTAGAAAAAAAATATACTTCATAACTTCAGAAGCCTTTATGAGACAGTGGTAAGTTAAAAAGAAAAACTCAAAATTTTGTATACAGAATGGACTTAGCCATGAAATATATATTATTGAAAGAGATTATGCCAAAATATTCACAGCAGTTATAATAAACAGTTTAGTCACGGTTTCATTATTACATAATTTCTGTGGTAGTATTATTTAACTCTGTTAGCAAAAATATACTAAGTTTCTCATAGACCCATAGACACAGCACACACTTAACCTGTCATTTAAACACAATGCTTGCCCGGGTGATGAGTTTAAAGACCTTTGAGGAGGGCTTGGAGAGGCTCAGTGGTTAAGAGCCAGTATTGCTAACTCTCCCAGAGGACCCAAGCTCACTTCCCAGCACCCACGTGGTGTGGCTCACAACTGCCTGTAACTCCAGCTCCAGGGGTTCCTACACCCTCTTCTGGCCTCCATGAGTATCCTCTGCACATACACATCAAAAATAAAAATGACTATTTTTTAAGACCCACAAAACACAAAAGCTAGCCTGTGGGTAAAGTGCTTTTTGCCAACAACGAAGAATTAAGTTTGATCCTCAGATGTCCTCCACATTACACGGGCATACTAGGTCTCCACCTTTACCAAACACACATTTAATAGATAAATAAATAAACAAATGCAGTAAACAACAATAACAACACAGTTGAAGAGTGTATTTTTCTGGCAACCTGAACAAACACTTTCAATTTTCAATTGTACCACCAGGGGGTGGAAGAGAGTTAAAATTCAGCGATTTTAGAAGCCTGTGTCAGGGAAACCAAGGGCATTGCTGCATGGGGCCTGACTTAAGATTTGAAATTGACTTTAAAGTAATATACACATTACAAATTAAAATATAAGCCAGGCATAGTGGTACAATCCTTTAGTCCCAGCACTGGGGAGGCAGAGGCAGGTATATCCCTGTGGGTTCAAAGCGAGCCTGGTCTACATAGTCCTGAGTTCTAGGACAGCCAGAGCTACATAGAGAGACTCTGTCTTAAAAAAATCAAAACCAGGCCAGGCAGTGGTGGGGCACATCTTTAATCCCAGCACTCAGGAGGCAGAGCCAGGTGGATCTCTGTGAGCTCGAGGCCAGCCTGGTCTGTAGAGTGAGATCCAGGACAGGCACCAAAGCTACACAGAGAAACCTCGTCTCAAAAAACAAAAAACAGCCGGGCGGTGGTGGCGCACGCCTTTAATCCCAGCACTCGGGAGGCAGAGCCAGGCGGATCTCTGTGAGTTCGAGGCCAGCCTGGGCTACCAAGTGAGTCCCAGGAAAGGCGCAAAGCTGCACAGAGAAACCCTGTCTCGAAAAACCAAAAAAAAACAAAAACAAAAAAAAACAAAACAAAACAAAAAACCAAACAAAAAATCTAAACCAGGAGAAAATTAAAATATAGATAACGAGAATTGCATGTAAGATATTTGTCACAAGCTTCCTGATGGCTATAGTGGCGCATGCCTGTAATTCCAGCAACTTGGGAGGCTGAGGTAGGAGAGTTGTTAATGCAAGACCTGCTTGGGCTACAGAGTGAGTTCAAGGCCATCATGGGTAATTTAGTAAGATAGTGTCTCAAAAACAAGCAACAAAAAATTTTAAAACGATGCTAGGATGGGGACCTGGATTCAATGCTGGGGGAGGAGGGGGGAGAGAAAGAGAGAGAGACAGAGACAGAGACAAAGACAGAGAGGGGGGAGAGAGAGGGAGAGATGGGGGAGGGAAATGGAAGGAGGAAGGGAGAGAGAGAGAGGGAGAGGGAGAGGGAGAGGGAGAGGGAGAGAGAGAGAGAGAGAGAGAGAGAGAGAGAGAGAGAGAGAGAGAGAGAGAGAGAGAGACCCAAATTAAAAATAAAAACCTCCCAGGAAAAGCCTTGGTACTGTCTTCAGCTCTCCAGCCTCCTGTCCCCCTCAGTGTCATGTGTGGTCCACTTGCCCCTGCAGTCCAGCTTATCTTTACCCTCCTGACGTACACCTGGCCTCTGCGGCTCCTTGCAGGTGTAGTTAGGCTTCCCTGCCTTGGCTCTACCTCAGCTTATTAATTTATGAGTCTTTCACCGGCATGTATGTCTGTGACCACCTGCATGCCTTTGCTAGCAGAAACTTACTGGGTGTTAGAGTCCCTGGATCTGGAGTTAGGGACTATTGTTAGCCGGGCACATGGATGCTGGGAATTGAACCAAGTCCTCTGGAAAAGCAGCAAGTACCCCTAACCTCAGTGTTGTGAATGCTAGTGAAGAGCCAGGTAAACGAATGCATGTCCTTGGAGAGTACCGGGGCTGGAGGCTAGCCCTCTCTCATCCCTAGCATGGCAGATGACGTGAGCACAACCTTTGGGAGCTTTTTCTAATCCGTCCACAGTTGCCTGGAACTGTGCCTAGATCTAGCTAGAACCTGCTGCAGTGGCAAATGCTTGCTTTGGCCTGACGGATAATGGGCTCAACGTCCTCACCCTCAGTAGCTTTAGCTTCATTCTCTCTCCCCTGAGCACTTACTTCTTACCCAGGGCGATGTTGCGCCAAGTCTTGTGCCCTGTTAGGAAGGACAGACTTCTAACTTTGGTCTCTTCACCCCCTAAATAAGTGTGAATTTGGGCAACTCTTTCAGCCTCTCTGAGTTTTAGGCTGGGCGCTAGACACACAGAACAGAGAAATACTTTGTCTACTACCAGGCAAGGAAGGGTCTGACTTGCCCTGGGGTCCTATTTGGTTGGTTGGTTTATGAGGCAAGGCCTCACACTGTAGCCCAGGATGGGCTTGAAACTCACACTCTCCAGCCTCAGTTTGCTCAGTACTGGGAGTACAGGTGTGAGCCTCCTTTTCCCTCTCTTGGTTTTTGTCTTGGAGTCCAGAGGGCAAGGAAAGCTCTTACTGAAGGGTCAGTCTGCTGGTGGAGAAGGGTCCTTGACTAAGTTCAGGTTAAAATATGCAGAGTTGACGGGAAACATCAGTAAGGCATTTTCTTGGCATTTTAGACTAAAACCTGCAGTCACCCCCCCCCCCCCCCCGGGCACTCTATTCGTTGTAGCATTGGTGCCTTAAGCGAAGGCTGGCGCTGTCCTTGACTTTCAGGATCTGAAGTTTCAGCGGATCCATAGTCCGGAATACTACTAGGGCGAGAGAGCCTGGTGGGAAGAGCCTGGAGTGGGCTTCCGGAGGGAGAAGGACCGGTTCTGTCAGTCGTTCAGGTGTCCTTCAGGATGGGGCTCGGACTGGCCGTCCCCCTCGGAGCTGCCGGAGCAGCCGCACCCTAGGGCCGGGGCGGGCTGCCCTCTGCAGGTGCGCGGCGCGGGCGGGGCGCGGGGCGGGCGCAATCGGGCGTGGTTTAGGACCCGGGGCGGCTTCCCGGAGCGACAGTGGAACTCCGAAGTTGCGCCGGACCTTGGCCCTGACAGTCGGAGCTCCCGGCGCGATCCCTCCCGCTGTCCGTCTCCGCCGCCACCCGCTGTCCGTCTCCTCCGCCGCCACCCGCTGTCCTCCGCGTCCAGCCCTCTGCGCCAGCATGACGGGCTCGCTGTTCAAGGCAAACTTCTGGGTAAGTGAGCGCGGCGCAGGGCGAGCGGCCCGGAGCGCACGCGGGAGCGAGCCCTGGCTGTGCGCCTCCGCCGTGCGAGTCCGCTCCCGGGGCCGCGCTGCGCCAGGAGCGCGCACTCCCCCGAACACCTGGGCCCTGACGTCACCCCTCGTTCTCACGCTTGAAAACTGAAGCCCGAAAGGAGGAGCGTCGTCGGGCCCGGCGGGTGCCGGGAGCCGAGTCCCGCAGACCTGGGAGAACCGGGATGGGGCGTGTGAGCAATCACTGTGGGGTTCTTGACCCGGAGTTTTGCCCTGCCTGACACTCTCGCTTTCTGATTTCCCTCCCAGCCCCCCAGTGCAAGCACCCCGGGAAGGTCATCGCGTGTGTGTGAGACCCAAGAGCTGGTGGTTCCTAGGTCTTCTCCCCGCTTCACTTAGACATCCTTTTCTCATTCCGTTACCCTATGGCTACCTACCCTCCAAGGGTCCATTTTCCCCATAACTCGGAGGAGGCACCCTCGTTCTTTAAGGCAGAGCAAGAAGCGTCCACCTGAGAGCTGACCCATAGCTACGCATAGCCTTTTTCTAGGACCCTGCCTGTTTCCCCGTTAGCCTCAGAGTTGCCTACCACACCACTCTTCTGCTGTGACCCCAGAGACAGAGCCTATCACGTCCCATTTGTTTGAGGTTTTGGGGTCCTTCTGGGGGCACTGACAGGAAGACAAAGGTCTGGGGTAGCATTACAGCAAGAGTTAGCAACCTTCTACTGGTCTTCTTAGGAGGCCTGCGGAATCTTCAGACTTTTTATACTGTGAAAAAAAGGACAGACCTGTATACAGTTCACCGTAGAGTGGTTACTTTTTGGCTAACAGTTGAGGTACAGAGGCTTAAGCGGATGGTATGTTCGCACAGTCCCGTGGTGCCGGCAGCACATCTGGCCCTGGAGCATGCTTAGTCAAAAGTGTCAAGGAAAGGACTGCTGTTGCCCTTCGACTCTGGAAATCTTCACTCGAGTCCAGTTAAGGATCCAGGACCCTACTCCACCAGTTCCAGCAGTAAGAGCCGCGGTTTCTTTCCTTTCTTTCCTACTAACCTAAAAAAAACCCAGAGCCGGAAGTGTTGCCTCACACCTGAAATCCCAGCACCGGGGAGGCTGTGCTAGCATCCTAAGAAGCCGTTGGCAGCCCCCAGCTGTCCCGTGTATACTCTGGCAGGAATGGTCAGGAGGAGGGGCAGAGTGCAGTCCCAGTTGAGACCTAGGGTGAAGGTCTAGGAGTGGTGATGGTGGGTGGGGGAGGGGGGCGAGTTTCTGGTCTGCTTTCAAAAGCTACCTGCTATCCCAGTAACCGTGTGCAAAGGTGTTGTCCATCTCTAGTTCCAGGGGCTGTTTCATTCAAATAATGAAAAGGACTGCATTGTTTACTGTGCAGATTATTAGGTCCTTTAAATGCTTTACACACATTATTCCATTAAACCTCCCAGTTACCCTTGGAGGGAACTGACTCACCATGGTATTTTACTGGTGAGGAAATTGAGTGACAGGGAGGTTAAGCAACATTCTCAAGGCCCTGGAGCTGATGAATAGTGAGTGACCCAGGGCTCTGCATGAACTAACTGCTCTCCCAAGTGTCTCCAAGAGGGTGGCATGGAGTAAGTATGCCCCAGAGTAAATGTCTGCCTGCAGTGGGTGTGGGACATATCGGGCCGTCCTAGGACAGTTCACGAGAGTCTTCCTTCCTCCTTCAGCTGGGTCAGGAGTTCTTGGAGGGTAGGCACCATTTTACCATCAGCTGAGGCCTTGGCATCAGCTATGAGGCAGATGGACTGACTGGGGCATCAGGACCTGGGAGAAAGGGCCCAGAGGGAGATGTTAGAGAAGAGAGACCCCTTGCCAAGTAGTCATGCTTCTAGGGAACAGGAAAAAAGTCTTGACCAAGTTGAGGCTGTAACAGTGACTTTGTTTCATGGATGAGAAAGTTGTGAATGGACAAGGCAGAGCACTTAAGAAAACATAAGCAGGCACCGACTTCCTGGGTTTCATAAATGTGTATGAAATAGTTACTCTCTATACAGTGCTCTCTAGTAGGTGTGACATTTGCTGAGGCTAAATTTGTTGCAAGCTTCGCTGGAACACAGATATCTCCTGAGGAAGGGAGGTAGAGAGAGAAGGAATTTTTGTTTGTTTATTTTTGTTTTTCGTGGCAGGGTTTCTCTGTTTAGCCTTGGCTGTCCTGGAACTTGCTCTGTAGACCAGGCTGGCCTCGAACTCACAGAGATCTGCCTGCCCCTGCCTTCTAAGTCCTGGGATTAAAGGTGTGTGCCACCACTGGCTTTTTTTTTTTTTTTTTTGGCTGAGAGGCAAGGTTTTGGCCTCAAGAATATAGAGGAGGGTCTGGCCGGAGTGGGAAAGGAGGCAGATATAGAAACCACATAGATAGAGATCATTAAAGCCACAGGCTAGGTCAGCCAACGGAGGGTCAGCAGCAGAGGGAGCAAAGGGGCCTAGAGCTAGCTTCATGGAAGGGGAACTGGAGAATGAAGTGTGTGTGTGTGTGTGGGGGTGTCCTGAAGGAGGAAGTCAGCAGGAGGAACTGGTTTGTGGAGGCAGAAGGAGGAGGGAGAAGTGACAATGGACAATATTTAGTCAGGTGTAGCACCTGTGCGGCCTGAGTACTAGGCTCCCTCTGCCCCAGACCTCACCCCGCAGCTCCAGGCTCACCCTGCAGCCCCAGGCTAGGTTGATGAGTATTGAGGACTTCCTGCCAGAGGAGAGTTTTCCGGGAAAGAGGACAGGGTGTCAGGCAGCAGGCTTTGGAAGTATCTTAACATTTTGGCCAGTGCAAACATGTCAGTGAGTACTCCAATGTGTGATGGTCAGCTTCTAATGGCTGGTGGAGATGCCGCCGCTTCTTTGGGCGTTCTGGGAGATTTCGTGGAACAGCATGAAATACAAGAGTGTCGTTGTCAGCAGGACCTCTGAGGTGAACTTGCCTTTGCTGACTTGGTGATTTTGTGCAGATTGCTTAAGCCCTGAAGCTTCTGTTTTTTCTGTGTATAATAGTGGAGATAATGCTGGTCTCTTCCATGAGACTCTCGTGAAACTGAATTATAGAGATGAGCGTAGTGACTGGTACCTTGTCACTGTTAGCTATTGTTCCTATTGGCACAAGTGACAAAGGGAGTTAGGGACAGCTAGGAGAAAGGATGAAGAGAGACATCTGAGAGGAAGCACTTTGGGGGGGCTGTCAAGATGGCTCAGAGGGTAAAGCACCTGCTGTGAAGCCCAAGGACCCACATGATGGAAAGACAGAACCGACTCTCACAAGTTGACCTCTGACCTCCACATGTGTGCTGTGGAATGCTCACCTGGTCTCCAGGAAAAAAAAAATAAAGTTAAACAAAAGAAGCACTAGCCAGACGTGGCACCTCACGCTTTTAATCCCAGCACTTGGGAGGCAGAGGCAGGTAGATCTCTGTAAATTCGAGGTCAACCTGGTCCTCAGAGCAAGTTGTAGGACAGCCAGGGCTACACAGAGAAACCCTGTCTGGAAAGAACAAACAAGCAAACAAACACATGAAAAATAAAAAGAAGAAGAAAAAGGAAAGGATGATGATGATCATCATCATCATCATCAGCAGCAGCAGCAGCATTTGACGGATGCCTGATTTAGGAAGGAGGGAGGGAACAGAGGAAGAGGTAGGGACCAAAGGAGACAACCAGGGAAGAACTGTCACAGACTTCAGAGAGGAACATGCCAAAGTTGAGAGGTTCATGATCAAATTAAGTACTGCTCCTGAAAGTTTAGCCAACACACTCCACTTATTTGATTAAATGTCCTATGTAAATATTTATTTAAAGGGACCTTTTGAGCTAGTGAGATGTTCAGTGGGAAAGGTACTTGACATCAAGCCTGATAACCTGAGTCTGATTCCCAGAACACACATGGTGGGAGGAGAGAACCAACTCTTACAAGTTGTCCTCTGTAGGCTGGAGAGGTGGCCCAGTGGTTAAGAACACTGTCTGGTCTTCCAGAGGACCTGGGTTCAATTCCCAGCACCCACATGGCAGCTCACAAGTTGTCCTCTGGTTTCCACATGTGTATTGCAGCACCCCCCATCTCCCATTAAACAAATAGATTTAAAATGCAAAATAAACAGCTAAATACATAAGGGAACCTTTTGGTGGGTCTGCTTTACAAGGAAGTAATCAGTATTCAAGAAGTATATTTTAAGGTAAATTTTATGTGTATGAGTGTTCTCCCTGTATGTATGTATAAGCACCATGTGAATGCAATTTCCCAGAAGGAGAGAAGAGGGCATTGGAGTCTCTGGAATTGGAATTATGGATGGTTGTGAGTGCTGGGAACTGAACCTGGGTCCTCTGGGACCTTTTAAGAGCAGCAATTGTTCTTAAAAGCTGAGCCATCTCTTCAGCCCCATAATCAGTAATTTCAAAAAACAAGAACTCAACCATAGTGGCTCATGCCTATAATCTCAAGCAGTTAGGAGGCTGAGGCAGGAGAATTACTTTGAATTTCAGGTCATATGTAGGCTGTATCATGAATTCTGGGCCATTTTGGGCTACAGAATGAGATCCAAGAAGCACAGTAAAAATACGGGGGATCAGCCCTGATATAGTGTGCCTTATTATCTGTGCACACTCATCCGTATGCATCACTTCTAGTGGTCAGTTGAGTAGGCAGTGCTATGCGATTAATCTTGGTCAACTTTGATGGTTCCTCACCAGAATAAGACAATAAGCAGTGATGTGTTTTTCAGAGCTCAGGGGGAAGAGCTGAGCCTGGGGTGTGTGTGGGGGGGGAGTCTTCAGTATAGATGAGAGATGGTGCTCTTCAGATGTGGGTGTACTCAGACAAAAGTGTCTTTCCACTGTGGGTGTGCATAGGCGACTGTAGAACTGGTTCCAGGAGAGCCAGATGAAAGCAATGTCCTCCCACCCCAGGGGGTTTCCAGGAGCCTCATTTGAGCATGAGGTCTAGCCTGTGCCTAAATGACTTTCCTGGACCCAATGCTCTGGATCCAGAATAGCTTCCCAGTCACTGTCAGCACTGTACACCTGCCCTGGGTGAGACCCTTCTGTCTACCTGGAGATTGTCCAGAGGAAGTTTGGGTGCCTTCCTAATTACCCAGCTGCCAGCCCACAGAGCTGTTCCTCTGCTCCAAACCTTTGGCCCTAGAGTGGGGCCTGTACAGTGTCTGCCTTGCTCAAGGCTTTCCTCAATACTGTGTGCTTTGGAGCATGTGGGAGTCTGCCTTTCCTTCCTTTTTTCCTTCCTCCTCTTCCTCCTCCTCCTCCTCCTCCTCCTCCTCCTCCTCCTCCTTCTTTTGTTTTGAATACAGAGGGGAAAAAAGCTATACCAGCCGCTGCATACTGACTCCATGTGGTATTTTGCACATTTAGGATGCTTCTCTAATTTTTTTTTTTGTTTTTGAGCTCCTAGAGTCTCAAACTCTAGCTCTATCACACGCAGCTCTAATAAAATTTTTTGTTTAAGTTTTTTTTTTTTTTTTGGTTTTTCGAGACAGGGTTTCTCTGTGTAGCTTTGCGCCTCTCCTGGAACTCACTTGGTAGCCCAGGCTGGCCTCGAACTCACAGAGATCCGCCTGGCTCTGCCTCCTGAGTGCTGGGATTAAAGGCGTGCGCCACCACCGCCCTTGTTTAAGTTTTTTAAAAGAAGTTTTTATGTGTTGCCTAAATGTATGTGCATGTACAATGTGCATGCTTGGTGTCCTCAGAGGTCGGTAGAGGGTATTGAAAGCCCTGAAACTGCAGTTACTGATGGTTGTGGTGTGTCCTGTGGATGCTGGAACCTTTGCAAGGGCAGCAGGTGTCCTAACTCTGAGCTGCATCTCTGCCCCCACCCTCCCAGTTGTAAATATTCTCTCTTGGCTCCTGGAGAGACTGTGAGAGCCATCTGTGTTTTGTTTTGCTTAAGGCAGAGGCTAGGTGGGCCACCTTTCTTTCTTTCTTTTTTCTTTCTCCCCTGCCCCCCCACCCCCCACCCCCCCCACCCCCAGAGGAAAAAAAAAAACA